CAAAGATACCCAGTGCTCCAGTCAACAGTACTCTCTCCCCTCTCTCCCAGCCACAAAAAAGGCGAACCTCTTTTCCATCTGCTGGACCAGCCAGCCAAGAAAAAGAGGCTTTAGAGCAACTGTAGCTCTGTCTGGAGCAAAGTAGTAATAGGTTTGCTCTTTCTTCTGGACACCCACCCACTTCCAGACACCCAAGAGATGCTGTGCATGGGAACAGCCTTAAGTTTCAGAGAAGGGAACCCTCTATGTGTATAGAGCGGAGATAGCAGCATCATAAGGGAATGAAAGCCCTGGGAGTAAAGAAAAGGGCTGCTAATGACATCCTTGAGAAAGGGATGCTACTTACCGCTGAGGACATCGGGGCTAATGTAGGCAGGGCTGCCCCGCTGGTCCTTCAGCAAGTCATCTTCACTCACCAGATGCTTCCCAAGACAGAAGTTGGTGATTGTAATTCGGTGGGTCCTGAAGCAAAGACAGAATTAGAAAGGAAGTGGAGAAGACAGGTTGTAAAGGATTCAGAGGAGTACAACAAAGATGATACAGGAACTTGAAGACATGCCTTATGAGGAGAGACTGAAGGAACTTATGATGTTCACACAGGGGAGATGTGATAGCTGTGTTCAGGTACATAAACCACAGAGAAGGTGGTTATAAACTATTTTCCATGACCACAGAAACTAGGCTAGAAATAACTGATATAAGCTGCAGTTACCTAGACTTCATTTAAATATAGGGAAATTTTTCCTTGTGGTAAGATATGTACAACAGTGGAACAGTCTTCCTATGGAGGTTACAGGTTTTGAATCTCTGGAGTTTTTTTTAAGAGGCTGTCACAGTTGGTTTAACTGGTCTCTTTGCACATTGCAGAGGGTTGGCGTAGATTATTCTTGTGGTCCCTTCCAACTCTACAATTTTATGATTCTATGATAAGCAGAGTCCCAACAGATGTGGACCCAGGCAGCTTCAACAGCCAACGGACCGACTGACTGACTGACTGATTCGATCTGAATGCTGCCAGATTTAAACAGATCCATGGTGGCATGCATTGTGATTGAGAACTGACTGATAAGACTTTGGGGATTAGATCTGAGGTAGTCATGAGCACCAAAAGCTCATTGGATGTGAAAAAGCCCAGATCAGTGGGCTAGAACTGCCCAAAAGCTCCATGTGTAACTTTGGGCCTGATCGAGTCCTTCACTCTCAACCTTCCTTCCTGGGGTTGCTGAGAGCCTGTAGTGGAAAAGGAGGCAGAAGAGGGATCCTGGATGTGAGGAAAGAGGGAAGGCTAGTATTGCCTGAGTCAGAGAATCCCCACCACCATCATCCCACATATCTGACATAACAATCAGTGCATGCTATAAATTTATTTTACACAGCAGGGTAAAATTTGCAAGAATCCTCAGAACCTTAGAAGAGGAATACTGTCAAATTGCTGTTGTATAAATGCAGCACCTTTAAAAATGGATTCTTTGAGAAAAGAACCATCAATTCAATTCTGAATTAGAAGCAGAGTTAAATTGGAAGACTTCATACAAGAACAAATATTTTGGGGCTCAATCTCGATTAACATTAACTTTTCCAACTCAGACGAGTACAGAATTAGGATGGATTTCCTATAAATCAGAAAAAGGAAATTTTGCTAAGTGATACTTAATTTGTTATTTTTATATTCCCATCTACCTGCCACAGAATGGGTTCTTGCAGCTACAGGATAAAAACCGAGAAAAAAGCCATAACCACTGTAGAGAAAACAGGATGGAGAAGGTAGCTAAACAATCAAATGCACCAAACCAAACTTCTGTAATTCAAGACTATTTATGAATTCAGCCAAGAAGATGTTCCAAATTCCATGTGCTGCCAGAAAGAGGCCCTTTTCATGGAATCATAAGAGTTGGAAGAGATCTCAGAGGCCAGTCCAACCTTGTGCTCAGTGCAAGATCCACTAAAGCACTTCAGACAGATTACTGCCAGCCTGCCTGAAGACCTCCAGTGAAGGGCAACTCACTGCTCCATGAGACTGCCAACTGACAGCTCTTTACCATCAGGAAATTCCTCCTGATGTCCAACCTACACCTCCTTTCCTGCAGGTTCAACCTATTGGCTCTGATCCTGCTCTGGCGGCAGCAGAGAACAAATCTACTCCCTCCTCCTATTCATTACCCTTCAAACATCAGAAGACTGTAGCAGGTTTCCCCTCAGCCTTCTCTTCTGCAGGCTAAACATAGCCAGTTCCTTTAATCATTCCTCAGAGGGCTTGGTTTCCAGTCCCCCCATCATTTTGGTAGCCCTTCTCTGAACGTGGTTGACTTTGTCCATGTTGTTTTTAAACTGTGGTGCCCAGAAGCAGTGCTCCAGTTTTCTCCAGAATCCAGCCCTTCTCCGTGAAAGCACGTAAAAGAAATCACAGTCAAGCAGAGAAGGAAGAAGCAGCCCTTCAGGTTTCCTGACCTCAGGCTACTTGGTAGCTCTAGAAGCCATGAATTCTGGCAAATAAGTTGAAATCTACAAGTCCTGGTCAAAAACTCAGCAGCTACTTTTTCCAAACAGATTTTTCACAAAACACACTGGCGCAATCTGACCTGGACACTGCCAAAATATGGGTCACAATGGTAAGGTCAGAAAAAGCTGCGGGTGGCAGAAGCACAAAGTAAGCTTGCCTACAGAGGCTGCACAAGTCTCTCTTTCTGAAGCTGGATCAAACAGTAGCCCAGACCTGAGTGCTTTTGGGCCCCATTTCCCTACAAAATTGGTGAATTCCAACCACTAGGAAATGGCTTCTAATTTCTCAAAAGCCTCTCAGAGGCCCAGACCAAGCCCACTCAGCCCCCTTTCCAAGGCCAGGCAGCCGTATGCATCCAGGAAACCTCCTCTTTCTTTCACAATCCAGCTGGAGGCTGCATCAGCAATTCCCACCCAGAATCCCGAAAGAACTTTAGGGTCCTTTCCCCCGAGTGCATGAGAACAGGCAAGAGGGCTGCTGCCGGACACCTAAAATGCTGCTTTCAGATTGGATGTGCGCGAACTACCACCAGCCACATTCCTTGAACTGTCTGGGTATAATGAAGAGCGGCAGTTCTTGGATTTAGGCTCTGTGGAATAAAACTTGCTGGCCTGGCCTGGCCTTGCTTGTGGCTGGTAGAGTAGCCACACCAAGGACAAGCTGCAGAGTCACTTAGAACAGTGACGGTGCCAACCTCCAATTCCTGCGTGGGGAGCTGACTGACCATCTCCCGCTCACTCTCTTCCTGTACTACCAGCCGCGCCTGAGGGAAGCGTCTTCCGTTCTTGGACCTTTCCCCACCAGAGAACAAAGAGAGGCACATGCAGGAGAGATACCATCTGCCCTGGATATGGCTGACCAAAGACAGGCAAGTCGAAACTGTTCAGGAGGTCTACGCAGAAGCCCCCTGCCCTGCTACCCACTCCCCCAGAAGACAACTGAAGAAACTCTGGGAACCCTCAACAATCCCACGGCCAAGCAATTTGCAGAAGGAACACACCTTTTGTTTAGCACCATGTTCCCCAGTTTCAAGTCTCTGTGCACAATGTTCTTCTGGAAAAATAAAACAATCCTGCAATTAGAACAACTGAGATTATTCTGCCAAATGCAGAAGACCCAAACTAAGCACATGACTAAATCCCCCAAGAGAACTGCCCAGCTCAGTTCTGACGTCTGTACCTTTGCTCCTACCAAGGCAGGTGAGAAATGTCTTTCAATGAAATTTAGGGTTGATGCCCTGATCTGCAACGTTCCTCTAGCTGTGCAAGATTCTGGGGCTGGTGTGCATTCCATAACATGGCTGCTACCATACTTTGGAATAAGCGCAGAAATATGGTACCTTGTGCAAGGCTTCCACCACCCGCACAACGTCATAGAAGATCACAACGGTCTCTCGCTCACTAAGCCGCTTCTCTTTGATGACGTAGTGCTGGAGATTGATGAGGTCAGCGGTCTTGTCACTGAAATCATGGGCACAGAGGCAGTCCAACACTAAACAAATACGTTTCTTCATTTTTCGGACCATCCGACTGGACTCCAGGTCTTCCACCAGCTCGCAGGTTCGGTCCTGCATAGTCCCAAGTCACAGGGACCAGTGGTTAATTAAGCAGGGAGACACCCACCTTTCCCACTGATTAGACACAAGCCCAATATTTGCTGCTTCCGTGAGGGCCACATAGCCCCAGGGTTTGCACTTGTGCAAAACGATTGCCTTTTATAACCATTAATGAAATTCTCACAGATTTCTGAACGGGGTTGGTGGGTACAGAAATATTTTGTCTTATTGGAAGTGTAGAATTCTTCCCAGCAAGCATGCCCCAGACTTGCCAAAGGCACAGACTGATCTTTTCCTTGATGAGAGCCCCTACCCTTGCTTAGGCAAGCTGTGATCAAACTGGTGCAGAGTGGCATTTGACTGCAACAACCTAACAGACTCAGGCAGAGGTGCTGGACTGGGATCCTGACAGCTCCTGCAAGCAGCACATGACATCAAAACCATGATGGCAAGCAAAGAACCACATGGGCTGCTCCATCTGGAGGATTAGGAAAGCAGGCCTCTCGGGTCTCCATCATGTCAGTGCTGGGAGGATCAGCAAGCAACGGTGTTTGAGAAGGGGTCCAAACGGCCCTGCTTACCTGGAAAAGGCCGTGATGATGGACCACTCCATCCTGATTGTGTAGGAGAGAGAGGAGGGAGAACTCTGTATGCAGCAGCATTTTGCCCTGACGCTCCTCTTGGGTTTCTGTGCCACGGTCACTCTTGTCCTCCAAGGTGAGGATCTTTGTGAATGAGACAAAGGAAGAACAGCTCAAGAGGGAGGCTTCTTTTCAGGAAAGTCAGAAAGCTCCTTTCTCAAATGCAATGCTCAGAACATCACAGCAGGGCACAGAGCGCTTTGGAGTGCAAAGTTCACATTATAAATAAAGGAGGCACAATTTTCCTTTTTGGCCTGGCTCAAAAGCAAAGGGGGCACACCTTTCCCCAACACTCTTCCTCTAACCCCATTGCTGGGCCTGGAGTGTTGATTTGGAGGTTAGTGGTTCAAGGACAGGTAACAGTTTTTACATCCTGGCCACTTATTTTTATCGCTCCCAGCCTCAGGGACTGAGAAAGCTTTCAGAGAAGGTGTGAGAAAGGCGTCTCTCCACCTGAGCCCTCTGAAGAAGCATTACCAGGTAAAGGTGGCTGCTCTGACTTTGGGGACCAGGCAGCTGCCGAAAGCAACCCTCCTTGGAAGAGCTGCATTTCACTCGAGAAGATCTAGGAATGTTTCGGTTGTGGTGCCACCACTGCCCACGGACCTTCCACAGAAGATCTACCACACTCTGCCTACCCTACTCCCTTCTTAAAAAAGACCTGTTATTACACTGCATTCTATCCCACCTTTAAATATTCTGCAGTTCAGCAGGTCTTTAGTGTTTAATTACTGTGCCTCTCTTTGATGTCACTTTTCAAATAGCACTATCTTATTTTTTGGTAATTACAGTTCACCTCTTTTGCAAACTGCTTCTTACCTTCAGCTGATAGAAGTCATCTGTCCCATCCTTTCTTGCCAGGCACTGAACAATGCTAGGCACTGGGGAGTTGCCCAAACGAGGCCCTGGGAACATAAAAACAGAACACATGGCCTTGCTTCTGACTCAGATGGTGGCTTAACTGATCCCCAGGAAGTTCCCCTTTCTGCCCAGCATGATGTGTTTTTCCATAAGCCACAGAGGTGGGTAATAGGAAGTTGAAATGGAGATGGCCCCAATGTGTCCTCCCCACCTCAGCACAACACAAAGAGCCATCTACACTTGAACTGAAGCCAGAGTGTCACACACAAATGAAAAGATAAATACAGTAGCATGTTGCCCTCAACTCTTTTCTGATAAAGTGCAACTAAAGATATATATGAATGTTGTACAGGTATAGATTTATGGCCTACCTTTCCTTGTTCCACACTGTGTCCTGTGGAAAGCAGGCTAGCACTATTTTAGAAAACATGCTGGCTGCATTGGGGTACTAGGGGATAGTAATGCTGGCAGTGACCACAGCAGAAAGGGATTCAAAATCTTTATCCACAAACGCTGAGATTAGAGGCTGGATTAGATCTTGGCTTCAATCACTGTGCCATCTGATGGTGAAAAGAAGTTTGGAAATAGCTGGGCCATGTTTGGAGATTTCTGCAGTGATGTGGCCTGGCTGAACATGATGTCTGTCAGGGGCCAGGAATTTCATCATGTTATATGGCAGAATTCATTATGCAAAATAAAAGTTCTGCCTGTCTGATGATCTTGCAGTGCTGAATAAGTGCCAGTTTAGTTACAGTATCCCTTGGGGCAAGAATCCATTCTTACTCACCAAGAATGAAAGGCCCTGCTCTTTTGGTATTACTGCTGGAAATCCCTGGGCAGAGGACCTTGGCAGACGTTTCCCCACCACCTCTATCGGAGGTTCGTCGTTTCATTCTGAGTTCTGGAAAGGGAGAGCAGACAGTGCCTTACGTTCAGTCCATTTCCTCAAAGGAGCTTCCACACCACCAGTGCCTTTTTGTACCATACAGAAAAAGCTCACTGGAGATTGCACACCATTTCCCCTGGCTCAGAAACACCAGAGTCCAGGGATCTCAATATGAAGGTGAATTCCTTTTGCATTACAGTGGCATTCTAAGATGTCATGTGCTTGTGAATAACTGGTGAGGGTCAATCCTCTTTTTTTTTTGTACTCCTTGCTTTTAACTGCAAAGAAAAGAGCAGTCCCTTTCATACATGTCAGGTTGCCCTCACCTTTAAAGAAGCTGGAGGGAGAACCTATCAATGTGGGACAACGAGGGACTGATTCTGAAACCCTGGTTGCAAAGACCATGCTTTAGAGAAATGAAACTCGGCCTGAAGCTGAAAAGTTGTGTTTGTCTACTCTCTGCAGGAATGGAGAACATGCAACGCTGTTCGCTGGCATATAAGGGCAATTCACCAGCCCTCAAGGCCTCACAAACCATCTGAGGAACGCTGCTGCACGCATATTCAATCTCTTGCACAACTCCCAGAGAAAACCTGGAAACCTCTGTTCCTTCTCGACTAATGAGCAAGCAGGAGACGCGTTACAGTGAATGCTTTTAATCAACTTCTGTTCTCATTCAAGGGTCAACATGCAGCAGCACCTGCAATTTCAGTTGTAGCAGCCACCACAGCCTGTGCAGGGTGTCAAACTGCCCTTGTAAAAAGAGATTCACAATGCAGAAGAAGCTCACAGAGAAAAGTAGCAATCCACTATATTACAAGGGAAAACCCTAGTAGGAATGTGATCCATGCCCTGCATATTCTGCTCCTAAATTAGCCTTTCAAGGACAGGATTAATAGAAAAGTCTATTGTTGAACCTGCCACCACTCAGCTGACTTGCCCTTGTGGAACAGAGTCTAGCACATCGTCTCACCACATTTTCAAAAAGGATTTCAGCAAGGAGACTATGAGTTAATTCAGGCTTTTGGCGCTTGGGACTGCTCACCCAAGGCTGAAGCACCAAGAGTAACACCACAGGGGAAATAAGAGAAAGGTTCCCACACTGCCGAAGCCGCCTCGCGTGCAGAACTGATGAATCACTTCTCCTTGGAGACTCCAGGCAGGCACCACATCAGCAGACTTGAAACATCAGCTGCTACTGGTGCTGCTACAGCCGCTCCAGCGGAATTGAGGAGAGACGCCCAAGTGGCAAGGGGCCGAGGGAATCTCCCAGAAGCATTTGATGCTCCAACAAGGAGGACCATGAGCTCATGGAAGAATCCTGCCAATCTCCTTGACACATACTGAAGACTTCCAGTTTTTCTCTAGCTGGGCAACAGGCCAAGCTGTCATTGCTGATGCTGACCTTCTGCAATGACAGAGAACAAGGGTCTATGGGAGGAAAAGAAACAGCATGGTCTATAGGAGTGGAAGAGTCTATAGCACTACCCTCAGACAGATTCTCATACCTCTTTAGCTCTCTGCTGCTCTTCCTATGTATCATGGTTTTTCTCATGGACTTTGCTGCTTCCCACATCAAATTATTCTTAGCACTGTCAAACAGCATTAAGGGGGAAGAGTTGCAGAGACCCTTCAAATCCTTAACTGTTTTACCGGGGAGAAAGTCAGAAGTGCTTTGGCTTTTAAAGAACACAGGGTGGCCACATAAACTAATCTGCCAGTCTGAGATGACCGATGCACGAAAAGAATGTGTCCACATGCTCGTGTTTGCCTGTGTATCTCTCCCAAGGACGTCACTGTAGTAACAAAATGTACCAGGCAGAGCACAGCATCATCACCTGCAGAAAATTATGAACGAGCACACGTACGCACAATCTAAAAGAAAAAATCTAAAGCACAATTATCACCATCCTAAAAATACTCAATTGAATACAGTAATGCTTTTGAGACCAAGCAAAACACAAGAACTTGCAGGGGACAACATTGGTGACCGCTCCAAAGTCACCAAGGGGGCTGAGCAAGGGTACTGAAGACAGGCGTTCAGGGTGATGTGCAGGGCCATAATTAGTCAGGTTGTAGAAAGCAGCTGTGCTAGTCCCTGAATGTGATTCTTCGGGTACAGAAAACACACAGCTGAGTTATACACAAGTGCCTGCAAAAGACAGCAAAGAACAAATATGTGCTAGATATTCTCCAGGTTCTGATCTTTTGCTCTGGGTCTGGCCGTGTCTAACACACAAATTCAAGCATCTGCTTTGTTGTACTTTAATGTGGCCCACAGCCAAGATGTAAAGCTCATTCTGTTACTGATCTGGACTCCACACTTGTCTCCTCTTAGCTTTCATCTCACTGGAAAAAAAACGTGCAACGCCTCTCTAACATGCAACTGTTCTTGGGTAATAAAGTGATTCCAGAGCTCTAGAGAGCATGAAGCCACCACTGGTCTAATACTGACCCGGCTGGTTATGACTGTGGGAGACATAGTTTAACACAAATGGAGAACTCTGGGTTGGGGCAGACTGGCTAAGGATACCTTTCCACAGTTCCCAGTTTTGTCTTGAAGGACCTGCTAAGAGCCAGCTGGCTTTGCACAGCAAATGCTTCTGCAAAGGACTTTTGTCAGAGCAAGGTTCCTGAAATGAAAGGGACTGAGCCTAGGGCTTTCATCAGGTCCAGTATACAGTCTGGCCCAAACACATGTCTGCAAGGCAACCAGAAAATGGATGGGCTGTAAAGGCAAAGGCTTCTTCAAGACACATTTGACCCTTGGGAACTGCCTTCATGCAGTTTTATCACCATCTTCTTCCATTATGTTTTTAACTTCCTAGGCAGTCAATGGCCCTGGAATTCCCAAGTCCTCTAAGGACTAACCAGATCTGATTCAGCTTAGTTTCTGAGATCAGCCAAGGCTGACTAGGTTCTGACACCAGCTGAAGCAGGCATCCCATACAATTTCAGTAACATAGATGCTGTGTACCGTATAAGTCTCCTAGCTCAACTGAGATTAAGCCATATGCACTGAGAAGCACTCAGGGGGGATGCTGTAAGATAGCCTCTTCCTCCAGTTGAGTTTAACTCCTGGTGACTCCAAGAACACACATGGAATTTCTTCATCAGCAACACAAAATGTGGTTTGTCAAATTCTTTTTGTGGGATTTTTTAAACTTTAATTCCAAGTCTATAAGACTGAAATTTCCTGGTAGTCTCCCATCAAAATATCAACGCTGCTTAATTTCTGAGCCCAGAGTAGGTCACCTTGAACTAGAGTGAAATTCCATTTTTTTTCCTTTTCATTTGCCAGAAAAGCAGTAAAGGTTGAGGGAACCTTATCTCACTGGATTTTAGCTTCAGCTTTGTGTCACACTAACAGCAATGTTCCCAAGAACAAAAGAAAAACAGACACATTTCATCAGGAAGTAAAACCCTGAATACACAATTATTACAATGTATGGCCTTCCGGATGACAGCATGCCAGCCAGAGCCAAGTTTTCACAGTGCTGCCTGGCCAACCCAACCCGCACTTTGATCAGGTTTCACTCATAGGTTGGTGGAAATTCTGGATGGCTTTGGCATTAGAATTTTTGCCAGAAAGCAAAAGAGAACTTTGCTGGTTCTCAAGAACTTTCAGCATGTCCCTAATATAAGTCCATCTAAAACTAGCATTGCCATCATTTTATATGTCTGTATGTAGGAGGTGCACTTACATCTGCATTTTGCCATGAGTCGGTACTGATTTGTCAGCATACCAGCAGAACAAATGAAGAAATAAATTTATATGCATTGTTCTCCAGGCATATATGTTATCTATTTCAAGAATTTTCACTTCTTCCTGGGCTGTAATTGTAGCACAATTACCAAGGAATAAATCCTAATTAATTAAGTGGGATAATTCTGAATTAAAAAAAAAAACATGCAACAGTACATACAAGGATGCAAGGCAAGGAACTGCTTGCTGAGCTACCAAATACTTGAACAACAGAAATAAACATGACTACAGTTTAACCACCTTGACACAATATAAGTCAAGTAAGTATATTAAAATCTTCATGGGACAGTGGAAAATTTGCTATTCACCTCCCCATCATAATATTTAAGCAAGATGCTGCTCAAATACAAAAGCTTGGTTTTCTAACCACGCGCCTCATTTACTAGGCCATCTCTAGGCCATCTTATTTTAGAGCTGCTTGCTGGTGGATGGTATGTGAACTATGTGGGTTTGGCAAACTTAGCTCAAAGTAACCCACAAGGGTTACCTTCCAACCAAATGTGGGGAGGAAGACCCAAGTGAGTGAAAGAAAGCTATATACAACTTCAGAAGAGCAGCTCGATCTGCTCATGGACACTCAAGACCTGCACTTCTATAATTCTGGAGAGAAACCAGATGGAAAGGTTCCATCTACCAGGGTTAGTAAGAGTCTTGCCCTCAGACATTTCTTGGCATGCAGATCCCATCACTTGCAGGGGAAGTAGGGAGGAGGATCAGCAGCTTGTTTCTTATCACCCTTCAGCTTCAAGGATACTACGATCCCCAGATACACAGGCACTGTCACCTCTCAGACTATTGGAGAATAGATAGGTTATTGCTGCATTTGGAAACTGCCAATCTTCTAGCGAGGAGCCAGCGGTCTTCTCTCTCCTGTAAGCGCCAGGTCCTGAACCAGTTATCTGCTCCTCCAAGAAGCGGGTCGGTCGCCAGAACTGCTGACCGGAAGCACAGGCAGAGAGCCTCGGCGCCCCGTGCTTGTTATTTCCATGCAGATTTAGGGGCAGAGCTCATGTTCAGTATTCTGGAAGTCAACCTGTAGCACCTCTGCCTAAGGTCTGGAGAGTTATTGCTACTTGGAATGGGCCGGCCGGTATTCCACCTCAACAAGTGACCCTTCCACCTGCTCGGGCGTATTAGAAACTACACAGCCACCGGTGCAAGTTGGCAGCCCAGCACAGGCACCATTACTTCTGGCTCTCGTTCACAAAGGCACGTCGATTAGCTCTGACCGCCAGATGCCAGCGCTTGGTTTCACAATCGGGACTTCTGAACTGGCAGACTTTTCAGTAACCGAGGAGCGAGGCGCCCGATCTGCAGGGCAGATGGGCTCGTCAATTAGTCCGTTACTCATTCTTTTGGCAGAGCTGCAGATCGCGGGGCTAATCGAAGGGAAACCTCTGTTCTCACTGTCACGGCGCTCGATACCGTGCCCGCGCCACGCGAGGAAGCGCCAACGGCCGGCCTGGGCCGCCAGGCAGTCCGCTGCTGCAGCCGAGGGATCCCGCCGTGCTGCGCATCGCGAGCGGGAGGCCCCGCGCCCGGCCGCACAGCTGCAGCCCGCGGG